AGCCTGTACTAACCAGTAAAATATTTTAATTAACCAAATTAGAGAACTTCAGTATTTTCAAATATTATTCAGTATTTGATGGGTGATTATAATGTTTAGTGATAAACCTTACGGCTCTTTTCTGTAATAAAAAATACGATTTGTAATTGTGTTTCATGCTTTCCCCCAGACTTAGGGATCTTATTGACTTGTGATTGTTATGAGGAAAAAGGTTTAAACATATTTTGCCAACAGGAGGATGTTTGGGAGTAAGAAAGGAAGAATATTTGAATCTTGGCTTCTGTCTGAACAAACATGCAAATCTCTGTAGAAACGGCACCAAAACGTTTGCATATTCTCCAGAAGAAACAAGGAATATTAAACTTTGAGAAAAATCCTTCATAACTCAGTAAGTTGCCACCACCGTCAGTGTGGTCTACCAAAATGTTATGACTAAAGCAGAAATCATAAAATAAAGTTTTATTCTCATATAAAAGTCCTTATTATTCCATATAAAACAGCAGTGAGGAGAGAAGTTGTGTTTGTAAATGAGGAACCATGACAAAAGGCCTGACAGTGTACATTTAGAGTTTGATTGGGGGTTTTGCCATCAAAGTTACAAACTAAAAAGAAATTCAGACTACCAAATTTAGAAAAAATATGGAATGTTATAATGTTCCAAAAAGAAATCAGAGACTTAAAAAAACTTATGAATCCAGTTTATCTTAAAAGTATTACTCAAAGTAGGGAATAAAAAACAATTAAGTCCTCCGTTTTCATATGAATTCATTTGAGTAGATTTCGTAATATAATGAGTCTTATTAGATCTTGACAATAAAAGTGAAAAAGATATTGACAAATTATTTAATTTTGTTTGAAAAAATGATTGTGCAGCATAAATAAGTCTGGAGAGGCCTTCAGCCTTATAACAGAACAGGGGTCTCATTTATAAAGGATTGCGTGGAAACCATTCTAAAAGTGAACGTACGGCCAAAAGGCGGAAATGGCGTACGCCAAAAAAAATTCAGATTTATAAAACCGTACGTACGCATGTTTCTGTGCATCTTTCCTTTATAAATCACAGCCACACCTCAGAGTTTGAGCACAAGGTCCTCCTCAGGTT